GGAACTGCGCGGCTCCATCGGGTTCTCTCCCTCGCGTTAGAGAGACTTCAGGCAACTTCTGTGGTCGGCTCTTCGTGGCTTCCGTTATTTCACGTGTTCTTGCACGACGAGTGAGAAACAAGGCCAAATCTGAACTTTTCAAGCACTGAGGCAGCGCCAGGAGGTCTGAAAACCCATTTGTCTCCAAAACCAGTATATTAACAGAAAGCAAGAAGAAAAATAAAAATAAAATCCACTTGTAGGTATAGGTGGAAGTTTCAGTTAAGGGAAGGTTTGCATTAAGATGCTTCTTGTAAATGCTTGGCGTGGTTGGGAGGTAAGGGGACTCAGGGCCTATCATAGAATCATAGAATGGCCCAGGCTGGAAGGGTCCTTAGAGATCATTTTAATCCAGCGTCCCTGCCGCCAGGGACGCCACCTCTCGACTAGATCAGGCAACACGTGGGGACCGAACGGGTATCGAACCCGCGACCTTAGCGTTGTGAGCACTTCGCTCTACTGACCAAGGTAACTGGCCCCTTACTGTGTTCACCAGTGTGTGCCACATAAACGCCACAAGATAAGATGAAAACTAAGCAGTTGAAAAGAAGTGCATATAAAAAGTAAAGGTTCCATGGCTGCAGGTTTAAAATTGTTATCTGCTGAAGGAAGCGCTGTGCCAAACACAAAATCAGGTTTAAGCAGCTGACTGCAGTTACTGCTGAGCACTCGGGTGCTTTCCAAAGTTGATAGACTCTGTGGATGTCATTGTCTAAGTGCTCTCCTTTGTAGCGGGCCACTGCATTATGTCCTGGGGTATGCTGCGAGAGCCTAAACATCTTACTTCTATTTTTCTGAAGGAATACCTATTACCAGCGCGTCGTATTTTGCCACCATGACGCTTAACCAAGTTAGGCACGTGTTTCGCTCCGACACGGAGGTTCCCTTGCCTTTGATTGAAGAAAGACATCGTGTGCTGAATGAGAGTGGAACCGTTCTATTAGAGAACTTTGGAGGCTCTTTCCTCACCTGCGTTAAAATGAGTAAGAACAGTGCTCAGAAACTGCTACGTCTAGTACTGGAAAGTTTTCCTTCTTACAGAGATGAAGCTGTATTTGAGGTAAGCTAGTTCTAACATTGATTTTCTTACGGTAAGAATTTACTCCTTACTGGTTGTGGCTCTAAAACATAGCTTTTAGGTTGTCTATGTAGATTTTTTTTTATGATAGTATTTGTGAATTATTGGAGTTTTTAATACAAGAAATGGAAGGTGAACAGAAATATTTCTGTGGAACTCAATGTATTCAAGAGTAAAATCCAAGGGAAATAAAGAGAAAAATTACTATTATGTTAGAATTTTTGCCTCAAATCAGTAAAGATACTGGTCTGTATTGAGAGTCAGACTTCAAAGCAGTTGCTTTTAATTATGTAAGTTGCTACGAGTCATACAAATAAGGAAGAAGTTTTTTTTAAATAATATGCTTTGATGACCACTAGTACACTTTTTTTGCTAAGCTCTGGTAAAATTATTGAGATTTCATCTCTCCATCAGTTTAAACCTCTGAAAACAAAATCACACAATTTATTAGCAGTAAAAGAATCTTGATTGTCTTAAGACCTTAAGTAGGGAGGAACATATTTCTAATGACAAGACTTACTTTCCTCCCAAGATGAGAGCCATTTTTCTAATTGCTGCTTCTGTCTTCATCACTTTGTTGTAATTTATATACCCCAAGTTCCTAATTAGATCATTAACTCCTTACAAACATGTAATGTTTGAGATAATTTCTGCCTGAAAAATTTTAATTTTTTTCCTGGTTTTGCCCTTGAATTGCTACCAACCCTCCTTCCTCTATATCTCTTCTTTTACCCTGAGGATGTCGGCAGCTAAAGAAGAAAATGAAACTCTGGTAGGACTGTGAAATCGTACCACTACTGCGAATCCAACAACTAGGACTATTGTTGATTCAGCAGGCATTGCACAAATGACTACAGGCCAGGAGTAAGCCATGCTTTTGTCAGGGTTGACAGCATACTGAAATTTTTTGGAGCTGTTTTCCTGAGAGAAACTAGTGGGAGTTAAACAGAGACTGTGTCTCTGGTTTTGCCTATACAGGCATGATCTTTATTTAGCATCAGTGGCATATGTGGCTGCTCCTGTACTTGGTTCCATCTGCAGTGGTATTCAGCTGTTGCATCACTTAGTTCAGAAGACGTTATTCTAGAGACAGTGTAGCCTGTACTGATAGTCTGCACAGTCTTTTCAAGGAAACTCCCTGGAACACTAGTAGCTGGAGCTTTGAATATACTGCATTTATCACTTAAATCTGCCCTTCAGTAAGTGGCATGATTTTATGTGCCTTTGTCTCCTGCTGTAAATTAAGGTATGTTTACATAAAATTGCAGAGGTTCTTTTCAACTGATCTTTGAAGCTGCTAGTTTAATTTATTGGTATTTTTTATGTGTAATTGTGATCGGAAAGGAAATATTTTCCAAGTCAAGTGGTAAATAGAATATCTTCTTATCTTTATAGTGACTGTATTCATTGATGTAATGTCTTTCATGAGGTGATGCTGAGTGCTTTATAAGGCATGCCTCCCCAGTCGCAGCAGACTACAGAATGAAAAGATGTTCCAATAATGATTCTAGACCATAAGCACTGACGTTGCAATAAAGCGACCTTAAACTGTGGAAGTTGTTTTTCTACTTTCGCTAGACACAATATGTATTTCGAAGGGGAGGGAAATAAGGTAGACCAGGATTGCACCCTACATGTGAAGAAAAGTGTATAAAGAAAAGTCAGCACCTAATGCAAGGTGACATGGATCCTATTATCAGCATAATTTCTGTGTCAGCAGGTTAAGCTCTCACAAGTGAGACTTTGCATACAATAAAGGCTTAGGAAGGAACTGAAAAGGTGGTGAGATATGCAATAACAGATTGGTGTTTTTCAGTAGCTTTCCATGGTGGAAATATATATGACTGTAAAATAAATTACACAGTAGAATCATACTGTCACAGACTACTACAGCTCTCCTACATTCTGACCTTCTAGGGAAACTTCTAAAATTGATACAGTTCTTAGACTATATGCTTTTCCAAGCACATACACAGAATATTTTTAATGATTACATGTTACTAAGTGTAATTATAGAAATTGCCAGTGTTCTTCTGCTTCTGAAAAGTGAATTGCAAACCAAACTCAGAGTCCTTGAAACTGTTTCGTCCTTGGTTGGATAATTCATATTTAGATTTTGTGCTGAATTCGAATCCTGACAGAAGTTTAAATATTAGACTACGTCTTACTCTCCTATCAGGGTTTTCATGTTCTGACATAGACACAGTTGGAGTCCTTTCTGAGCTTCAAGCCAGTGGTGTTGCGTGTATTTATCTTTTTATTTCCTATCACCTAGGACCCGGTTGTAAAATTCTCATAATCCTCCTATTTTTCTCTTTTTTTTTTTTTAAAACTAGTTTTGCTACCACATTTTACTCTTTGCCAACACAATAATCCTTCTTTCTTTTAATATCAGTAGGTCATAAATAGTTTCATCTCTTGATACTGGCTCATTGTAGTGGAGAGGAGCTACAAGTGCCCTATATGTGGTAGCTTTTCCTGGGAAGTGAGGGTGTCGCAGAAAGAAAAGTGTAGTTCTCTTGCTGTCCGGCAAAATGTTCCATTTCTGGACAGATGATGTTATCTTTTGAGACATAGTTATCATCCACCTAATGTTTTCCTTGCTTTCTGTTTAAAAGAATTGTGGGAAAAATTACTAGAAATGCATAGGAATCTTTATCATATTGAGAATTTCACATAAATTTCTGAAGCTCTGTGCAACATAAAAGTTAACAGTAATTGAAATAATTAAATTATAAATTCATCTGCTCAATAACAAGTCTCAGACAGTATTTATCTTCCAAATTACATTGCAGCCTGAGATGAAAAGTTCCATTTGAATTCTCCCTTCTTCTGCTCCTGCACTATGTTGTGGTGCTGGAGACAAACAGTTCTTTCTTCTTCTGTATTGGAAAAATCTTATGCTCTTTGAAAAAAAAAAAAGAAAGAAAAAAAGTTGTGTCCTTGATTTTCTTTAGGGCAATAGGAACTGTTGATGGGATTTGGTCTGTTAATCATTTACTTCCTGTTGTGATGTTTCAAGTGATATTTTATTACTTTACAAACAAAATTGTGTGTGTTCTGTAGGACTAAGTTTGTGCACCTATGCCTAGCACAGGGGAAGGAGGCGTTTTCAAGATGTTTGCAGTTCTGTGAAATGTAGGTGGACATCTTCTTCTCCGTGTTTTTGGAGAATAGCGTTTAATGACAAAAAATACGCTTTGCTTTCAGGAATACTTGTTGTAGCATATTGGCAATAAAGTAAAATTAAATTGGCTTAAAAATGCTGCTTGTAAATGGTGGTATGTGTTGTGGAAGCATCTGGGAAGACCCTCCTGCCAAGTCAGGAGGTTCAGACTGGACCCCCTTGCTTTCTGACTTGCTCACGGAGAGAAGTGCAGGTGCAGCTGGATCCAGCCTGAGCCCCTGATTGGGAAGAAAAGTTCAGACCCTGGGTTCTGCCACAGAGTCGGTTTATTTCAGCTCAAGCTGGGCCCCCTCTTAGAGGGACCCTGAACACAGAAATCCCTGGGCAATTAGAGCCTTACAATCCAAGTTCACCTCCTCTCACTTGATGGTTCAGTGCAATCGTAATACTTGGGTCTGGAGTCTTCCTGTTCATCATTGGATCCTTTCTCTCTCTCCAGGTGTGCATTCTTTTCTTATCAGGAGATTATAGTTTCTGTTGATCTTATCTCTCCCAATTAGCATTGGTTTCTGGCCCTTTCTTCAGCATAAGTTCAGCAGTACTTAGGTAAAAGTCCGCAATCTGGGACTTAAGGCCTCCATAAATGTGGCTACTCATGCTAAGCAATGTCACTTGTAAGACAAAACAACTTCCAATTAATGCTAAGCTACCCCATAATTAATCCTAATATTCTACAACTACTTTCATCTCTGACAGTATGAAGAGTGGCAAAATAAAACTGGAAATAAATTTAATTCTCATTTCACATTTGCCATTCCAGTTACTTACTGTTGTTTAGCACGCATCGTCAAAAGTAAAAAATCTCATCTATCTAGAAAGGGAGGAAAAAACCCTGCAACCCGCTGATAAATCTTTTTTCTTAAAGATGCAGATTTACATTTACACACCGTGTTCATCGTAGAGTAAAAACCTCAGCAGCATACAGATCATAGCATAATTTTATTTTTTTTCCATGTGAGTAGTCACAGAAGCATGCAAACCTTTGCAGGAGTAGCATCAGGAAGAATAGCATCATGCGTAATAGCTAAGAAAATCTTGTGTTTGTAAATGCACTTTCTACTGTGAATGCGCTTTCTACTAAGGTGCAATACGCAGCACAGAAGAGTGTTCATTAAAAGTTTTGCTGCAGATAATATGTTTTAATCCTCTAATCCAATGCACGCTTTTTACACTTCTCTCATTGAAATAAAACTTTCGATGAGCTCCAGGGTTTCTGAAGGAATTAATGCTTGCTGGACTTCAACTACCGTGTGGAAGTAAACCAAGATTAATGTGTCCTGAGACCCCAGCAGAATCTAAACAATTGTTATTGCACTGCAATGACTTCTATTATGTTTTCTTTTATTTCAATTTATTTATGAGCATTCCATGTGATACTTGTTTGTGGTTCAATCTTGTTTAGATTTTAAGGTGTTTAAGAGTGTTGCACATTTATTCTGTTTTAGTTAACTAGTATGTTTGCCTAACCAAATGATAGTTTCATGGAACAACATGTCTCTCTGTACGTGTCATTTGCTGTGTTTGTTTATGTTCCAGGCACTTAAATAATTCATAAATTTCTTTCACCAGAACAAGAAGGTGTCTTTCTACAAAAGGGCACAAATACTTGTGGCTGATACATGGAGTGTATTAGAAGGCAAAGGGGATGGCTTTTTTGATGACATTTCTAGTCTGACTATATTTGCTGACTACAGAATTCCTCAAGTTCTCGTTCACTTAAAAGCAATGAAGTATTCTGAAGAACTAATGAAGAAACTGCGTGAAGGTTTGTTCTTCCCGTACTAATATTGAGTAATCTTACCTCCTGACATTGTAGACTAGAGCTACTTTTAAAATGCAGTGTTTTGTCCATGTGAGGGTTATGTGGGTTTGTTTGTTTGTTTGTTGGGGTTTTTTTTGCTCCAGGGAGCAAGGACTGTGATGTAGTTATGAGTTAACAGGAAGAAATGTAGGAACTTGTCTAACAGTGATCTTGAGTGAGATATTAAGGTTACATTTCTATAAAACTCTTAACTGTTCCTTGGATTAAAGCAGGAGGATTAAAGAGTCTTTAAGCCAGTTGATCTCAGAGTTTCTGAAGGGCTGCTCTTGCAAAAACACTTTTCAGCTTGAGTATAGTAATGAATTTTGAGATTTAGATAAAAGAAGAAATTATTTCTTTATTAGCTCAAGGATGCTGTAAAAACGTGGGGATTCCTCTTCATCTGTTCTGAACTGCTAGTGACAAGGAAGGTAATATAAGCATCCATCAAGAAAGATTGCTCTTAAGTTAACTGAATAAGACTGAGACGTCGTTTATAAGCGTGGATCCATCTTCCAGTACATATTACGTATGACCTTCAGTGAACAAAACCATAAATCAATCCCTTTTTCACTGTAAAATAACTATATTTAGAGGTACGCAATTTTAAAATTACACAGCAAAATAAACAGATGATTGCACTCATCCATGAATCTTTATAGAATGGCCATATAATATATATGCCTATATATCTATATCCTAAATAGGTCGTATAGGCAATTTATAATTTCTCTGAATCCTAATATGGGCATGTACATCCAAGTAATTCAGACAGATAGGTCCATTTATATTCCTACATGTGTAGGGAAAAAGGGAATTGGGTGTTGGGTTTTGGGGGGGTTGTTTTGTTTTTTTGTTGGTTTTTTTTTTAATTTTTAAATCTTTGCATTATCCTGACAGAAAATATACCATCTCAGAATTACCTTTGACTGTCCTTTTTGTCTCCAAACAAAGAAATAATTGTATGATGCGCAGTATAACCCCAACACCTGTTGATTTCTCAAATCACTTTCTTAGAATACAAGATGCTGTTTTGATTGAATGGGAGGTAAACCTGAGTGCATATGGTAAAATTGAGGTAATCATTAGAAAACGTATAGCAACATTGTTAGGAGTTGTAATTCATCAAAACTGCAGTCCTAGAAGAGAAAAAATGTGGAAGGGAAAGAAGAAAAAAGAAAATTCAGGCCATATCAGGGCTTCTGTCTCCTGAAGGTAATTGGATTTCTGTCTCTTGTGTCCCGCAGGAAAAGTTTTCCAATCTGGAGATAAAGAGGAAGTGGAGATCCGTGGCTGTTCTATCTGGTGTTGTGCATTGATTTGTAAGCACCTGCTGGAGCTCTATGAGAAAAAGGGTCAGGACATGCGTGAGAAGATCAATGCGGTTTTACTGGATTATTACCTCTGGGACTATGCCAGGAGTCATAGAGAAGAGATGAAAGATATTCCGTTTCACCGAGTACGGTGTATATATTACTAAGTCTGGTCTGATAGCTGTTGTATTGATGCATTGTCTTTGGTAGAATCATAAAGGTTGGAAAATACCTCTAAGATCATCAGCTCCAACTGTCAACTCAACACTATCATGACCACTAAACCATGCCTTTAAATGCCACATCTACACTTCTTTTAAACACCTCCGGGGCTGGTGACTCTATCACCTCCCTGGGCAGCCTGGTGCAGTGATTGACAACCCTTTTGCTGAAGGAATTTTTCCTAGTTCTGAGTCTAAACCTCCCTTGGTTCAGCTTGAGCCCATTTACTCCTGTCCTGTTGCTTGCTACGTGGGAGAAGAGGCCAATCCCCATGTCTCTACAACCTCCTTCCAGGCAGCTGTAGATAGCGGTCAGGCCTCCCCTCAGCCTCCTTCTCTCCAGGCTAAACAGAGCCCCAGATCGCTCAGCTGCTCCATGGAAGACTTGTGCTCCAGACCCTTCACCAGCTTCAGTGCCCTTGTCTGGGAGTGCTCCAGCACCTCAGCGTCCTCCTTGTATGGCAGTGCCCACAACCGAAGGTGGTGCTCAGGCAGGTGGGTTGCCACGTGCCGAGTTGGAGCGGGCAAACCAAATGCTTCTTTCCTGGTGCTGTGCTGGGAGGACGCCAATTGCCTTTGGGTTGGTTTGCTCCTTTTTTTGGCCCCCAGCTCTCAGTTTTTCATTTGCCATGACCAGAATTAATCACGGGAGCCTTGCTGGACAGCCCGCCCCGCTACAGGGCTGTGACACCTGCTCCGAGCGCGCTCTTTGCAT